CAGGGACTGTGGAGAGGAGAGTCCCAGGTGGAGCGGGGATGCCTGGAAGGAGGAGCCTCCATCCAGATGAGCCCAGAGGACTCAGTCTGGTGCCCCCCCCCACACCTGCAGCATCCCCATCAGAACCGGAGCCCCCCCCAGACAGCAGAGAGCTCAGTAAGAGACTGTTTCAGCCATATTCAATTCAATTTTATTTCTACAGCGCCACATCACAACAACAGTTGTCTCACAGCTTTCCAAACAGAGCAGGTCAGACCTACTCTGAAGTTAACTACAGAAACCCAACAATTCCCACCATGAGCAAGCACTAGGCGACACAGGCAAGAAATATTCATCCCCTCTGTGGCTTCTACTGTTAGAAAGTGAGAATATGTTGTTTCAGACAATAATCATCACACTTTAGAGCCGTCAGGCTGCAGATCTGGATGTCTGTGGATCACTGCAGTTACACACACTTTTTCTCTACTTAACTGTGTTAGAATTAAATGAGTTTCAGGATAAAGTCAGTTAATATAAAAAATATGAAGATGTTTGAAATTAGTTTAGTTTGTCTTAATGGGGCTGTAAAAATAATGAAGTGCTTTGAGATTAAAACCATCTGGATCGTGAAAACCTGATCCTCCATAGAACCCTTACAGCCTAAATGTCTTCAAACAATGGAATTAAGGTTTAAGGTGGGATCAGAGACATTGGAGCAAATTTCTGAGCTAGAAGTGGCCAACATTATTAACTCCCTGAAGCCCTCAGAGGCCAAAGATGCGTATGGCCTTGACTCACACTTTTTAAAAATCCATAGAGATACACTGGTATGCCCGATAACGCATCTCATCAATTTATCAATCCGATTGGCGGTTGTCCCACCAGGCTGGAAGGTGGCCACAGTCTCACCAATTTTTAAATCAAGAGACAAAACAAATATTTCAAACTATCGCCCCATCAGCATTTTCCCTGTTGTATCTAAGGTTGCAGAAGAGTTGCACCAGACAGCAGAGAGCTCAGTAAGAGACTGTTTCAGGCATATTCATCCCCTCTGTGGCTTTTCAATCAATCTATCAGTCAATGTTTATTTATATAGCACTTTACAACAACAGGAGCTGACCAAAGTGCTTTACAGGAATAAAAACAGATCAAACTATTGAAATATACAAAGACAAACGCATCGGTGACAGAGCCCAGTTTACTGAGATTTTAGGTGCAAAAAGCCATTCTGAACAAATGCGTTTTAAGTTGAGCTTTGGATAGAGGCAGGTCAGTAAATACACAGTGGTGGAAATGAGTATTTGACCCCTTGCTGATTTTGCAGGTTTGCCCACTTACAAAGAATGCAACGATCTATAACTTTAATCATATGTACATTCTAACAGTGAAAGACAGAATCCCAAAGAAAATTCCAGAAAATCACATCTTATGAATTTATAAAAATTGATAACCATCTG